TTATCAAACCACGTTTGGAGTTATGGGAGAGTTCGCACCATAGAGACCGTCGCCATGAAGTCTTAATGTGTCGCTTGAGAATTGGACATTCACGTATCACCCATCGACATCTTCTTTGTGGTGAGGACACCCCAGTCTGTGAGCATTGCGGTGAATCGCTAACTATACTGCATATTCTATGGCACTGCAAATTCTTTGATCAGGAACGCCAGACGAGTTTTCCTTTACTTTCTGGATATCTTCCATTTCATCCAGTCTTCTTACTGGGAGATGAACCTTTAGTTCCTTTTGGTCACATTTTAGATTTTCTTAAAAAAACTGGCTACCCACACCAGTTATAGATCCTCTGCATAGTGCATTGCATAGTAATTCCTTCCTTCTACTATAGAGTCTTTTAATTATCTCTTTGGCGCAGCATGGCCTATGTTGCTTTTTGCGCCATTAAGCACCTAATAATCAATCAATCAATCAATCTTTATGGTGGATTTCGAGTCAGATCATCGAACGCGTCAGAACATCCATCGAGTCAAAGCATCCATTCGTGGATGTTTTGCCTCGGTGGATGTTCCGACTCGGATGGTTGTCTTGACTCGTTGGATGTTCTGACTCTGGTGCCACGTGACCTGTTGGATGTTTTGACTCGATGGATGTTCTGACCCAATGAATGTTCTGGCCATAAGCGTTTATGATGGCCCTGTAACGTTGGTCATACAAAAGCTCTCTGACGGACTTGTTAGAAGCGTACATCTGTATGAAGGAAACCTGTCGTCGAACCTGTTTGAGGGGCGTCCTCAGATAATTTTTTCATAATGTCAGCCGCAAACACCGTGTCTTTTGTCTGGTGCGTACGAGCAGCGCGGCGGCGGTGGCTGAGAGTCCTCTCTTGGGGAACTAAGCTCGGCGGTATAAACTATTTTTTGTAACGCGTTGCGTGTAGTTTATAATTAGGCACCGGTGCGTTGAATTTGGAGAATTAACATCCGCGCAGTGAGACAGCAGGATTTTTGCCCCAGTCGCGTGCTTTCCAATGATGGCGAAATTTGTTAACATCGAATTTCGTACAAATTTCACGAAAAGAATGAAGCAACTTGACTTGTAAAGTATACTTTCATTACCAGATTTCTAGCGATTCGGTAAATCGATTGAGTCAACGCATGTTCCTTTAATTGGGAGCTTAATTAGTAGATCGTTCCAGTAGCTCCGATAACGACACGCGATACTCCGCGGGCTTTTTCTTTGGGCATGCATCGCGTCGTTATTGGGTGTGTGGTTATCGGAATTACCGGAACAACCTATACTAAAACTGAAAAGGACATCGCTGAAGAGAAGCGGTGGTCCACACCGTCTCGGCGTGTTTGTCGTGTCAATCAGACACCGGGAAATGGAGAACCGCGTTTGGCTAGGGGCATCGAAGCTAGGTGGGCTAGTTCTGCAACGATTTAGGGTACCATATGTGCGTTTCAATATAATCGGCGGAATATGGCCCTCATAGGAGAAGCGGCGGGGTGTAAATAGCCTCAAGGAAAACAGCGTAAAAACGGAGCCCTTTTTGTTTTGTGTATGTGTGTGTTTGTGTGTGTATGACTTGAAATCGGATGTGTCGCTTAAATTTCTTTCTTCCCTCTCGTAGATCATGGCATAGCCACCTCTGTACTCACAAAACCTGCCAGGTCGACGACGAAGCCATAGAGCGCCCCGTCGTAGATTTGGAGTGCAAGGATTTGGTAGCACACAGCATCAAAGAGTCATTTCTCAGGGAATCTGGACGTCAGCGTGCAGCTTTTGCAGCGGCGAGGACCCGAAACACACTTGCTCGCTCGGAAGAAGCGCGTCTCGGCGTCTCGCCGCAGCGGGGTGCCAGTCACGTGGCGCTCTCATCCGTTGTCTGCCGCTCTACCTTCTTCATTTCGGCGGCCGCTTCTCGAGGCGATCTGCCAGGCTTTGGCAGTATGTAGGAGGCTGTGGTCATGGCAATCACGAGCGCGCCCACCTGTCAGCCGGCCAATCGCGCGGCGATTTCGCTCCGCGCTTCCCAAGTGACCTTTCTTTGCGTGCAGACGATGTGCAACTTTTAAGTTCGTGTTCATTACTTCTGGTCTAAATCGTTTTATAAGACGGAAAATAGGAAAACTACGCGATATAGACTTGGTGAGAGACGTGGGGGATCAACCAAACTCTCTCGTAATCCAAACATTTATTCGGCACCGCAAAAAAAAAAAAAATATATATATATATATATATATAACTTTCTTAAACCGTCGCCGACTTCCCTATTTTCCCCACCCGTTCGATCGTCCTGAGCAGAGTCAGCACAACCGCCAATTCGTCACCACATAAAAAAAGAAAAAAAAAATTGGGAGGAAGAAGTATTTTGCTAGAAAGGGCTGCCGACTGAACCTGCGTCAAAGGTTTTCTACTTTGGCCGCCAGGTGCCGTCCATTTTGCAGAAGTCGCCAATATCGCTCAGTCTACGAATTATTGGATGTCTGCGTACAAGCTTATGCTGATGCATACTTCGCAGAAAAACAACAACCGCATCTCCACATGGTGGATGATGTTGATTGGGGCGAAGCTCTGGTGGTGCTTGTCTGCGTAGACGCTGAGCCGCAGTATGCCGAGCCTTTCGTTCGTTTTCATCCATGTCACGCTGCGGTCAAATGCTCAAATGCGTATATAACCACGTTTCATACCACACATTCTCTTTCTGACATGGATGAAAACGAACGAAAGGCTCGGCATGCTGCGGCTCACCGTCTACGCAGACAAGCACCACCCACGGTGGCACCGCCAGAGCTTCACCCCAATCAACATGATTCACCACGCGCAGAAGCGTTTTTTTTTTTTTGCCCTACACGAGCACGGGTGCACGTGCTCACGTGCTCGTGAGCACGAGCAGCCGACGCCGGACATCGGACGGACATGCGGACATGGCTAGCCCCTAAGGAGCTTCAAAAGTGCATGTGTAACTTCCATTTTTTTAGGCCAGTAGGAACTTTTTCGCAAGGCGTTGCTATTTAAACCCGCTGAAGCGTTTTTTTGTCTTGCTTTTTTTCCCCAAGCCAGCGCATTGGATTTGTTTCGAGTTCTTGCAAAGCGTACACTGGCTGCCCATTTTAGAAATAAATAATTTGATATAGACAAAGTCCCACAATTTTTTTTTTAAAAGCAATAGCGAGTACCATCTAACAAAGCCGCGTACTGGCGTTTAATATGTTTCTAAGGTACAAAAGGAGTACACAGTATGCACGTGTTCGATTGATGTACAGAGATCAACATGCGATTGCCGCCTTTTCTTCTGTTTTATACTTCAAATCCAAACAACTCTGGCGTGTATGTCTTCTACTTCTTTGCGAGAAATAGACAAAAGTATCACGAAAAACAAAAAGAAAACACCCGCGATTTTTTTAGAAGCACGAGCCGAGACTTCCATCTGCATGGCATCTTCAACTTGAAACGCTTTGTAAATCGGCAAACGTTATTAGTCAGAAAAATATATTTAAGGTCTATGCCAGAGGTGGGCAACATCTGCAGGAGCTAGGGCCCTGACTGCAGCATAACAGGAAAATAGGAAACGGGAAAAGAAGCACTAATCGTCGGCAGAGATGAGCGACGGCGAAAGCACGGGAAACAATAGTTCTACTAAAGTGATGTCGTAGCGTAACGGGTTTCACAGTGTTGTTTCAGCAGCCACTAACCCATTTTTATTATATTATAATATTATAGGGCATTATATTACAAAATTTCGAAACACTTTTTTTAGCTTAAAACACGAAGAGTCATCTCCGTTTCTTATTAGCTCATCCCTTTAAAAAAAAAAAAGAAAAACATCAAGAAACTGTGTGTGTGTGCGCGTGTGCATGCACATGTGTGTGTGGGGAGGGAAGGGAGGGGCGCTTGGAATGCTTTAGCATGACTCTTGGAAACGCCACACACGTCTCCCTCTGGGAAACGCTAACGCTGACCTATTCACTTTTTTTTTTCTTTCGGCTTCTTTGCTTCCTCTATTTCTTGCTGCCTCTTTATGGCCCTGTTACAGGGTCAATGTCAGCATTTCCCAAAGGAGGACGTGTGTCGCGTTCCCAAAGGTCATGGTAACGCATTTCCTAAGAATCCACCAATGAATCTTCCTGTAATTTCCTTCGCCCCCTTCTCTGCGCTTTGCCTCTAAGAGTATGTCGACGCCCTAGGATACGGCCGTCCATATCACTCGTGGAAAGAACCACATCCATTCCCCTGATGGAAGGAACCGCATTCATATCACTCGTGGAGGGAACCGCCGTCCATCGTTTTAGCTACTCACATACATCACAGCCCACACACAGTATACTACGGAAAACCAGAGAGAAGAACAAGCGGCGAATGCGGAGCTGCAACTGAGCACGCCCGCATTGCACCGGGCCGTTGCGAAGCGTGTAGTGCTGAATGAGACGGCGCTATTAGGTAAGGCCAACGCTGGGCGCAGATTGGACACGACGGTTGCGTCAACGTTCGGCTCAAACTTGATTCGAAGCCAAGCGTTGCCCTTCTCTGATGACGCCATCTCATTTAGCACTAAGGCTCTATAGGAGGTGTTGCGCAGCGTCTCCTCCTCTCTCGCTCCACGCGAGCTGTGCGCGTGGCAGACGAAAACGAAAGGCTCGTTCTGACGAAAACCCGCGGCGGTGTCTGTCAGTTTGTCAGCGCCAGGGAGAGGGGAAGAGATTGACGCGGTGCTGACGTCAGCTCTTCGGACCAATGGGAGCACCGCACGCGTTTCCCTCTCTCCCTCCTTCTCCCTCTCTCCCCGGCGCTTACAAACGAAATACACCACCGCAATTTTCGTCTAAACGAGCGTTCTAATGCTAACGCATTAAAAATTGCGCGTGGCATTGTCGAACATTGATGACATCGTTCTTAATCGGAATGACAACAATATTCGCCTGGGACAGGAGTAGAAGTAACGCAGAAACCCGATGTCTCATCGACCGGAGAGTAGAGTATACTTTATTGACACGAGTGTTCTATTTCTTAAGTGCCAACGTCACACCATCGGCCAAGGTGAGCATGCACAGATGAATGCGATCATCTCGGTGCAGTTTTCGATTGAGTGCTCGCAGCGCCACCGTTCCTTTCTCGAAGTAAGGATCGTCGATGGTACCGTAGACGTACCCCATCCAAAAGACCTTAAATGAAGAAAATAACGAATAATTCAACTCTTTATGCGCAGTATAGCCATAGGCAGTTTAGCACACGCAGGGAGGGGCTTAATACGTTCAAGCTTCTACAGCCACTACGCTGCTAATATACCATACAAAACACAGTCTGCACACACTGTCTGAAGCATGGCTCTTCCTTGTTTGACAGTCCTGCCACGTTGGCCATACGACTGCCAGCAGATAATCCTGCCATCATGTCCTCAGCGAACACAATGTCGTTTGTGGGATTTGGGAGCACGACATTATTAAGAACAGTGTAAAAGGACGGGACAAAAGTAGGAGCACACAGGAGGGACGCTGACCAACAACTGAATGTTTTTTGGAAATTCCACACGAGCGCAGTGTCTCCCACGTGCACGCGGTCGTCTAATCACATATCTTGTGGGGTCATACTAAAATCGCCACGAGATAAATCCGAACGCTGGCTCGAGCAAACCAGCTGCGTCACACGCGATGAGCGTAATCAGGTGGATGAAGAAACTTGAACTCCTTCCTGCAAATCCACGCACGCGTAACACCCAATCCCTCCGTCTACTCAATATCTACAGCCTCCCTCAAGATCGTCATGCACGGTTTGACAAGTTGTTTGAAGCCGCACGCTGCAAGGGTTGCGCCACAATCATTGGAGGCGATTTTAACGCTCCGCATCCAACTTGGGGTTACCTTCGCGACACACCTAAAGGCCGAAAGCTCCACACTCTGATTCAACAACAGAATCTCACTTTACTTACTGATTCATCGACACCCACACGTCTTGGAACCAGCGTTGCACGAGACACGTGCCCAGACCTTACCATGTACCGTGGCACTAAACCCTGCACCTGGCAGAACCTTGAGGAACAGCTTGGCAGTGACCATTCGATTCTTGAAACCCGTATCCACACTAAAGACTTCACAGGGGAAGCACGCCACATCCGTATCACAGACTGGCCTGCCTTTCGTGCATCATCCTATTCTTATACCTCCTCCGACACACTCACCGATTGGGTGCAGGCACTGCAAACCCGGCTAAACCGACACACGCGCACTCTTACTACCACTCCAGATGCACCGGATATAGACTCCCACCTACTCCATCTGTGGGAAGCACGTCGTAGCCTAACCAAACGGTGGCGACGTCAACGCCGCAACAAGAAGCTAAAACTACGTATTGCCCAACTTACTGTTGATGCTGCAGACTATGCTGCCAACCTTACTGGTGAAAACTGGCACGCGCTATGTGACAATCTCAATGGCACGCTCGGTACCGCACGAACGTGGTCCCTACTCCGTCACCTCATACAGCCCGGTCAAGCCAAATCGGACAGGACCAAGGGCATTCATAAACTTCTACGCGCCACTAACCTAACAGACGCCCAATGCCTCACTCAGCTACGACAACGCTACCTTCCCCCTCCTGACGCTCCATGTTACGCGGACTACATGGGTCCCCCCAACACACTCTCTTATCTTAACGCACCGATTGCAGCAATTGAGATTCGCGCTGCACTGACCGACATACGCCGCAACACATCCCCTGGTCCTGACCAGGTCCGCTACTCTCTTCTCTACAACCTCTCTGATTTGGACACCACGCAGCTTACTACCTATACTTGAACGAGGTGTGGGAGTCGGGTACCCTTCCCAAGGAATGGAAGGAAGCAACAGTGGTTCTGATTCCCAAGCCTGGCAAACCCCTCTCCTTGGAGAATTTGCGCCCGATTTCTCTTACCTCGTGTCTGGGCAAACTGCTTGAGAAAGTTGTACAGCTTCGCCTCCACAAATTTCTTGCGGACACATCAGCTCTTCCCGACACCCTTTATGGATACCGTAGTGGCATTTCTACCCAGGATGTGCTGCTCCGTCTCCAACACGATGTTTTAGACTCGCCGAGCACTGCCCAATATCGCGCCGTCCTTGCCGCAGATCTTAAGGGGGCTTTTGACAACCTCTCTCACGATCTGGTCCTTGAACAGTTGGCAGCCACTGGCTGCGGAGTGAAAGTGTACAATTACGTCCGCAATTTCCTCCGTGACCGATCTGCCAGCCTCGTCCTTGGTCATCTTCGCTCTCCTTCCGCGCCAGTGGCAAACCGTGGCACACCGCAAGGCTCTGTACTTTCTCCGCTCCTGTTTAACCTTGCCATGCGAGGTCTTCCTCCCCTTCTGGATCAGATCTCGGATGTCAGACATGCAATTTATGCAGATGACATTACTGTCTGGGTAACGAAAGGCTCCCTCGGACACATAGAGACTCAGCTACAAGAAGCCGCTACTACCATCGAGCACTACGCCCGGCGTGGAGGCCTCACCTGTTCCCCCACGAAGTCAGAATTACTAATCGTGACCAAACACGCTCGCGGACAGGCCGACTTCCCCATTACCATCACATTAGACGGCAAACCCGTCCCGCGTAAATCGGCCATACGGGTGCTTGGCTTTGTGTTACAATCCAACGCTAAAGCAACTCAAACCCTCCATCAACTCACCACCCAGTGCAACCAAATTATGCACATGCTTTGCCGCGTCTCAAATCGTCGACATGGCCTTAAAGAGGCGGATGCCCTACGCCTTGTCCAGGCCTTGATACACACTCGCTTAACCTACCACCTTCCTTACCACAACCTCACCCAGACCGAACACACTCGTATGTCTGTATTGCTGCGGAAGGCGCAGAAACTTGCTCTCGGACTCCCTGTTCGCACAGCCACCGTTTGCCTCGAGAGGCTTGGGGTGACCAACACTCTGGAGGAGCTCATGGAAGCTCATCGGGCTGCCCAGTTGACGCGCTTGCGCTGCACGGCTCAGGGGCGGGCACTCCTTGCCACCCTTGGTTTTCCACCCTGTCCCGCTACCCTCGCAGCTGAGGGTCTCTCCCCAGCTGCGCGTGCCAGACTCACTGTGGCTCCCATCCCCCGTCATATGAATCCTACCCGCCACTCGGCTCGGCGCGACCATCGCTCGCGCTACCTCCGACGCGCGTATCCGGTAGGTTGCGATACCGTTCGTGCCCTCTTCACGGACGCCAGCCCGCAGGGTGTGCGCGGTGGTATTACAGTTGTCGTGGACTCTGATCTCAGGACAGTCCACGCGGCCACTGAGCGTGGTCTTACCGACGTCTCCGTCTTGGAAGAACGAGCGGTCGCCAGGGCAATACTTTCTACCTCCTTTCTCTCCTCCTCCATGCCCATTCACATTCTCACTGATTCGCAGACGGCCTGTCGGCACTTCCTATATAACACCTTACATCCTTCCACTGCATCTTTACTCGACCCGTTCCTATCCTCCACCTCCCACAATTTCCGGCTGATATGGGTGCCTGGGCACGCAGCCGTCCCCGGTAATGAGCGCGCTCATGCGCTCGCCCGAGACCTCTCACACCGGGCGCCAGGGGAAGACTTTGTCAGCATCCAACCAGCCCCTTACTCCTACAGCACTCACCTTGCAGAGCTACGCCTCGCTCGGCAGCATTATCCGCCTCCTCACCCTTCCCTTACTCGCAGAGACGCCGTCATATGGCGACAACTGCAAACTAACACTTTCCCGACCCCCCTCTTCTACTCTTACCTCCACCCGTCACTCAGCCCGCCTCAGTGCCCGCACTGCGGCGACCGTCCCAACCTTTTTCACATGGTCTGGCAGTGCCAACTCATTCCCGCCGTCCCACCCAATCCCAATCCCACCCCCACCTCCTGGGAGGAGCGGCTGACCGATGACACGGCCACTGGTCAGCAATCGCTGGTGGACCGCGCCAAGGCGGTCGCCGCCACATATGGGGCCCCGGACTAGGGGCTCCACCCGAGAGTTTGTCACACGTCGCTACAATAAAAGTTTATTCACTCACTCACATATGATTAATCACTGTTAATGAATTGCGGTTCCCTGCTCGTCAAATGTATACAGGCGCGACACTGCTAGAGCGATCTTGTCCGCAGGCAAGTATAAGGGTAGCTTCCAACATCTCCGTCCTAACGTTCCTCTGCTGAGAGGCTGCCACCTGGGTGTTGCCCAACGAGAAAGAACAACCACATTCCCTGCAGTGTATTAGCGAGTGAGACTGATAGCCGTTGAGAGCGAAGCCGCGTGCACTCGCAATTTGTTGTTAAAAAAACGACCGGTCTGGCCTATATACACTTCTACAGCTCAGAAAAATCCTGTACACAACTTCAGTGGCGCAGGGCAGGAGGTGCTTGGCGTGCTTCTCGACGCATTGCTGCTTTCTTTTTTTTTCTTCTTTTTTTTTTTTTTTTTTTTTTTTTGGGGGGGGGGGGGTTGTTTTGTTCCCGCTCAACATCGCGCACATATTTTTTATACTTTGCAGGAGGCTGTGAAAACGGCATCAACGTTGAAATTCGCTCTTTTACGTTTCAAGTTATGTGAGACCGTCTGCACGTAGGGCTTCACGTGGAACATTTTTAGCCGTTTTCAAGGTGCGTTCTCGGGGTTTTTCAGCTTCTTTAGCAGGGATTCTGCCACTCCTCCCAAAAGAAAAGGATGGAAAGCTGACTGTTTCAGACGAAGTACCTGACGGTCAAAGCTTTCGCGAACTACGTGTGCACGGGATTTTAAAGGAATACTTCAACGAAATTTGAAATATACCCGTCGTGTTCAAAAATTTATGTTGAATATGATCCACAATATCCGTAAATGACAACCCCACGTTTGTATTTTGAGCCTGGTGGCTATATTTTTTGTTATAAACGGCCCACTGTGGCAAGCGCTCGGAGAACAACCAGCGGAGAGCATGACATCCAACGCAATCGTGACGTAGTTCGTTTCGAGACGAGCAAAGCTACGGCGAGGCTGATGTTGAGAGGATGGCCCAGTCGTTCCAGCGGGATATTAGTTCCAGTTACCGAAGTGGCTGCTTTTGTACGAATTTTGAGTGACGGGTTAATCTTCTATAATTTTGTAGGGGGACAATAGCGACTTTTGGGACACACAAAAGGGATTCTCGGGAAGAGGGGAGTTCATCCTTCCCCTCTTCTC